AGGGTGCCTTGATTGAAAGTGCAAAGGGTGGGTTACATAAATAAATATTTTTGGTCCAAAGACAAGATTAAAAATAAAGAAGTGTTTCTGCACAGTCAACTGCTTTTTCGTTCCATTCAGGGGAGGTGGTTTTTTCCCACAAGACAAGCTCTTTTCCTGATGATGATGATCATGATGATCATGATGATGATGGTCATGATCATGATGATGATAATGTTATCCACTCAGTCTTGTCCAACTCTTGGTGATCCTATGGGCCAGGACTCTCCACATCTTCCGATCTTGCAGTATTTCTTTGAATTGTTCTATGCTCTGGCAGGTGTCACCTTTGATGGTGTCCAGCCATGGACTTCTTTGATGGCCTGGCTTCCTTTTATCTCTAACTCTTCCAAACATAATTGCTTTCTCCAGCAAATTCCCTCCAAATGACATGGCCAAAAGAAGTGAGACCTAATTTTCTGATTTTGCTTTTACTAGTAACTCTTGGCAATTGTTTGAAATGAGTCTATTACTGCCTTTTGAGATTTGTTTTTGACTTCCACATCTACTCTGTGATATTGCCACACTTTTCCAGATGACTTCCAGCTCAAAGTTGAGCCAGTTTCCACCTTGTTTTTTTTTTTTTTTTTTTTTTTTTTTTTTTTTTTTGAGATCCTATACTCCTTTTTTAATTAATGTTCTCTATAAGCCGTTGTTTGGGGCTAGATACATAGCTTTCTTTTTGGAAATTGCCTTTAAGATCCCATTTCTACCCCTAGGTAGAATAGATATTTAATGTATGCAAATCATGATTTGCTTCCCTATTGAAGAAAAAGAAGAGAAGATCTTTGAAAAGCTAAAACTGAAGAGTACTTCCAGAGCACTTCAGAAAACATTTCAAAAGCCCCGAAGCAACATTATTATTTGAATGTGAGGAAAAGCATCTGTAAATGTTTTGTAGCTTGATAAACCTGGTGACATTGTCTGCTCGTTCATTATCCCGGGGCAAAATGGGTTATTGGTTTTGCTTTTAAGGAGTGGCAACTGAAGCATTCTTCACTGTCAAGGTGCTCTGAACTTAAGCAATACTGGTGCGTGTAAATAGTTCTTGGAATCAACAAACTTCTTCACCACTTGTATCCCAAGGATGTCTGGATCGGCTTGAATCTTGATAAGCTAGGTTGAGCACCCTGTAACAATTCTGTCTTCCAAGGTCAAAGACACTGTCAGAGGAGGAGAGATAAGGATAACAAATCCTCCTTCCACTTCATACTCTATGGTGATGGCATGATGACATCATCATGTTTCCTCTAAAGTTTTATTTAATTAGTCATTTGTACGGTTCATTAAGTTGAGTTCTAAAGGAGTGGAACAAATTGAAGTTCTTTGACTAACTTTATGACAAGAAGGGAGAATTGACCCACAAGTAGTAGGTCCATAAATCACGGCATTTTACAAGTCTTCCTTCCTCTTTCTCATCTTTAATGAGAAGCCATTTGGTCATCTTTGTATTTGATAAAAATGCCTGAACTGTAGAATCTTTGATCCTGCTAGCCACCCCTCTCATAAACCCTCCAGATGTTAGTTGAGAAAAACTAGCATTTCATTCTCCTCCAATCTATATGAGGCTTGTTCCTCAGTCTTGGGCCTATGGCATTTCATACATAGCTGCTAACCAACAAAGATTTATTGTTGAGATCCAAAATTTGTCTCCCAGTGCTTTCCGTTCTCCAATCCAACATGTATATCTTTCACCAAGATATATGTGTTTGGTTGGGTTTCAAGCCAAACTCAGACAAGGGGAGAAAATCTATTTGGTCTTTGCAAAATGTCTCTTTAAAAACATTGGGACAAACTTCTAAAATTTATTTTTGAAATTTTGATTAATCCAACCATCAATGAGGGCATATTAGATGTAGGGCATGCATCAGTGGCCATGGAAAGCTGGAAAATGCAAGGCATTTCACACACTGCAGATGATGTTACTTTGCATAATGAAATGTCAGGAAAACCATTGAGCTCAGAAAGAACCAAGGACCCCACAGTTCAGCCCTGAGCTACAAGTACTATTTTCTATAGGTAATTTCACATGTCTAGTGTAATACGGACAGGTCATAGCAGAGAGTTCTGACAAAATGTGATCCACTGGAGAAGGAAATGGCAGTATCTAGACAGCATACTAAAAAGCAGAGACATCACCCTGCCAATAAAAGTGTGTATAGTCAAGGCCATGGTTTTCCCAGTTGCAATGTATGGCTGTGAAAGTTGGACCATAAGAAAGGCTGAGTGCCAAAGAATGGAGGCCTTTGAACTGTGGTGCTGGAGAAGACTCCTGCAAGTCCCCTGGACTGCAAGGCGTTCAAACCGGTCAGTCCTAGAGGAGATCAACCCTGACTGCTCTTGAGAAGGCCAGATCCTGAAGTTGAAACTCAAGTACTTTGGCCACCTAATGAGAAGGAAGGACCCACTGGAGAAGAGCCTGATGCTGGGAAAGATTGAGGTTAATAGAAGAAGGGGACGACAGAGAAGGAGGTGGCTGGATGGAGTGACTGAAGCAGTAGGCATGAGCTTAAATGGATTCCAGAAGGTGGTAGAGGACAGGAAGGCCTGGAGGAACATTGTCCATGGGGTCGCGATGGGTCAGACACAACTTCGCAACTAACAACAACAACTCATCAATGGCCACGGAAAGTTGGAAAATGCAAGGAATTTCACACATGTAGATGATGTTACTTTGGGTAATGAAATGTCAGGAAAACCACTGAGCTCAGAAAGAACCAAGGACCCCACAGTTCAGCCTTGAGTTACAAGTACTATTTTCTATTGGTAATTTCACACATCTAGTGTAATATGGCATAGAGGAGAACCAGAGATTATTTGGGAGAAGATAGATGGACAATATTATGCAAAACGTCAACTCAGTCCTGGAAAACAACAAAGTGTGAGGAAGAACTTTAAAATGACCTTTTTACTGACTGTTTTTACTATAAGAGTCAAAAGAGAGAACACACTGGCAAGCTTTCAGGATTATGTTACGTATCTGTAGAGTTCTAGTATGTCTTATTTTCTAGTTGCTCACCTGAAGTACCTCAGAGGGCTCACACATTTTGGAAGGTGGCTAAATTTGTGCAGTTGATGGACAGGGTTGAATAAAGCATATCTTTTTTTTTTAAGAAAGATATAATAAGCTTCAAGGCACAGTCGTGGCTTGCAATATACTTTCACTGTCAGAAAATGGATTACATTCATCTTTGGAAATGCTGAAATTTTAGATCATTAGCTTAAAGGTTCTCTTCTGTTTTGAAGGCTCATGCTGTGCCCTGTGTTTGGTGAGGAAAACCTCAGTCAATATCCTCTAAATACATGACATCTAAAGGAAAGATAATTCTATAGCTGTCCATGGCCTTTTCTGAACATGATCTTCATTCCTGATGGGAGCTGTTGATGTTTCTGGATCAGAGAGAATAGAATAGAATAGAATAGAATAGAATAGAATAGAATAGAATAGAATAGAATAGAATAGAGTAGAGTAGAGTAGAGTAGAGTAGAGTAGAGTAGAGTAGAGTAGGGTAGGGTAAGGTAGGGTAGGGTAGGGTAGGGTAGAATGAAATGGAATGGAATAGAATAGAATAGAATAGAATAGAATAGAATAGAAAAGAAAATAACAGAGTTGAAAGGGACCTTGGAGGTCATCTAGTCCAACCCCTTGCTCAGGCAGAAAACCCTATACCAGTGGTTCTCAACCTTTTTAATGCCACGACCCCCAACCAGTCGTAAGTCGAGGACTACTCAACCGGTCGTAAGTCAAGGACTACTCAACTGGTGCAGCACCGTTTGCAGAATGGGACTTTTGGCGGGCTCAGGAGGGCAGAGGCAGCCTGGACAATTCCTATTCGCTTTTGAAAGCCAATAGAATTAGACTCTATTCAAGAGAGTCTATTCTATTAGCTTTCAATAGCCAATAGAATAAAAGGGAGTAGCACAGCTAAGGAAAAGGGGGAAAAAATGGTGGACTGCATTGTTTGGCGACCCCCGTGAAATGGTCGTTTGACCCCAAATGGGGTCCCGACCCACAGGTTGAGAACCACTGCCCTATACCATTTCAGACAAATGGTTGTCCAATCTCTTCTTAAAAACATCCAGTGTTTGAGTATTCACAACTTGTGGAGGCCTTAAACTGATTATTAATTGTTCTAACTGTCAGGAAATTTCTCCTTAGTTCTAGGTTGCTTCTCTACTTGATTAGTTTCCATCTGTTGCTTCTTGTCCTGCCTTCAGGCACTTTGGAGAATAGCTTGAGTCCCTCTCCTTTGTGGCAGCCCCTGAGATATTGGAACTTCCATATTACTAATAAGAGAATATCATGGACATTTTCATAAAGTCACCAGTAGAACATGATATAATTATTACTTTTTTTCCAGGCTGAAATCCAAATAATTTCAGCTGAGATGTGTATTTCCCAGTTACAGTTTGGGAATTATCACATCATGGTAGAGAATGGTTTCCAGGAATCCTGAATCTTGAGTTTTCTCTTTTCATTTGACACTTGCTTTTAAAGGCAAATGTAAAAGGCCACCAAATGTTTAATGGTCAGTAATGAAGTAGTAAATTGCCACTAGGACTTAAAGGCAAGGCATCGATCAAACACTTTCTGTCTTTCATCCTCCACCAAGGGAGGTTTTCCTCTCATCTACAAAGTTCATGTGTTACAATTTGAACAGAAGATGAGAAGGAAGGAAGGAAGGAAGGAAGGAAGGAAGGAAGGAAGGAAGGAAGGGAGGGAGGGAGGGAGGGAGGGAGGGAGGGAGGAAGGAAGGAAAGGAGGGAGGGAGGGAGGAAGGAAGGAAGGAAGGAAGGAAGGAAGGAAGGAAGGAAGGAAGGAAGGAAGGAAGGAAGGAAGGAAGGAAGGAAGACTTTGAATTTTTTATTTTTTTAAGCAAATGGTGGCACTTGATGTCTCTTCTCTGGGCTTGGGAACTAAGTTGGGTCAGCTACATCTTGATTTTTCTTTATATTTCTAGGTTGACAGAAACAAAAATACTAGGGTTGATCTCCATTTCCGAACATCCAAAATTCAGGTCTTCCTTGAATCTGTGCTCCTCTGGCCCACATCTTGACAGATGGAAGAAAAGCACATCCTGTTCAATGTCCATTTGATCACCTATGATGTAAACAAAATAAATCCCTTTAAACAAAAGCTTTAGTCTTTCTTCTTTTGTTTGCCTACATTATACATGGACAGTAGTCAAAATCCTACTGTCCTAACTTAATTTCTAGTTCTGTAAGATATTTTATCCCAAACTCCTTCCAGTCCTTGGAGCCTTTTCTGATCACAACTTTAAAAGATGGAGACATAATTTCCCACTATACACACCCTTACTCACACTTCCCCTACTGCGTAGCCCCTAAAGAAGTGGTGGTGAACCTATGGCACACATGCCAGAGGCAGCACTCAGAGCCCTCTCTGTGGGTACGCACGTCATCCTCCAAGCCTCGCCTCCCCCAGCCCCCTCCTCACCAGCAGCACCCTGGAGGAGAGTCACCCCCGAGCACAGCCCACGTGGAGCAGTGCAGCCAAGGACATGGCAGCCAGGCAGTGGGGACAATGCTCCACCCTCGTGCTCCGTCGTGTGCAGATGATGCTTCGGGGCACGGGTGAAGGGTGTGACTGCCCTGGCACTGCAGGGCTGCCTGAGCAATCTGCTGCAGCAGGCTGTGGAGGCGGTGGGTGGTCCTGCAGCCAGGGCAGGGGCAGAGCGGAGGGCTGGGGGGCAGTTTTGGGGCACTTGGTCTCTAAAAGGTTCTCCATCACTGTCCTAAAGTCTTTTTTTAATATGGCATATTTTTAAACAAATAAACTCTTTTTCAAACCCACAAAATCCTATCTTGCTCACTTTGATAACTTTCCACAATGTTGAGATACAGAAGGTTGCCCATCTCTGCTGTATCAAATCATCACCATTATCTATCTGTTTGTTTGTGTGTGTGTTTGTGTGTCTTTGTGCTAAGAGGCACTCGGGATGTTCCTCCAACGGTAGTCATGGAGATTTCTTAGCAAGAAGAACCAAAACATGCCAACGGCAACTGAGGCTGGAAGGTGATTTCATGGAATTGTGTTTACGGTGGCACGGTTTTCATTCTCTACGGTTTATATGTCATGGCCTTTTCATACATGCAAATTACGGGCTGATAAATATGCATGTGAGAAATTGACATGTTACGTAAAAGCTGACATTACTGCTTTCGGGGGGGGGGGAGGTGAACTATCTCTAGGGATGTCTCTGAATTTATTGTCCTTTGAATTTCCCATATAGAACACCAACTAAACTTCAGAATCCATGGGAAATAAGAAAGAGAAAGTTACATTTATTTATCACACTTACTTTTACTCCATGGAACTCAAGGCAGTATGTATACCTCTCCTTTCCATATTTGTTTGTCATAGCTTCTATTTGAAAGTGACATCAACTGAGTAGATCAAACGAGCACCTTTAAAGCATAGACCTAACCTGAGCCCTCTTTTTAAGAGCAATAATAATTGTACTCTGAGTTAGGTGAACCACATAAAAGTGAATAATTGCTTAAAGATCAGAGTTTGTTGCCTCTGTGAGAAGTGAAAGGGACAGGGGAACCAGATGTGAATTTATTATGACTTATATTTACAAGTCATAATAAGGCATTTTTATTCTGTTTTACCAGTCTGCTGAAGAACTGCATGAAATCAATCTCAATGTAACTCAACAGTCATAAGAGATCAACATTAAGATTGGTTCTTAATTGTTTTGCTTCTATAGGTGCACATTCAGTAATGTTCGAAAATTATTTGAATGAACTGAAAAACGCAGCAAGCTGGTCTTCCTCTAATTCTTCAATTAATCTGATGAGTATTCCTTGAGGTAGAAGATTAAATGGCAGGACCCGAAGAAGGAACTAAACAAGGAACTAAATAATCAATGCTGTCTCGTTGCAACCATGCATAACGTATTGAGGGAGAGAAAAAACTGTTGCTTTCATTGAATAGATGCCTGAAAAGCATGGTTGAAAAAAAATCAAATAAATAAAATAAAATAAATATTTTATTATGGAGCTTTTGTAAGCATTTACAATGCAAACTCAATTCAATTTCATTAAATTACATTTATCCAAAGAAGACAAAGTTCTATCCAGTAGTAGACATTGGAGTAGGGCTGGTGGTGAACCAATGCATATATAATGTAACATTATATATCATTTTGATATATACAACCGAAGTAGCATTTTTGTATTTTGCAATTTTATTCCAGGATAGAAAAGATCTGATATATGAGAGGGATTTAGATTTGGGAGGGGAGGGGGTAAGTCAGCTATTTCCCATTCATATTTTGTTTTGCAGGTCTTCACAGAAGATAAATCAACAATTTGAACAACCACTTCTTCTTCTTCTTCTTCTTCTTCTTCTTCTTCTTCTTCTTCTTCTTCTTCTTCTTCTTCTTCTTCTTCTTCTTCTTCTTCTTCTTCTTCTTCTTCTTCTTCTTCTTCTTCTTCTTCTTCTTCTTCTTCTTCTTCTTCTTCTTCTTCTTCCTCCTCCCTCTTCCTCTCCTCCTCCTCCTCCTCCTCCTCCTCCTCCTCCTCCTCCTCCTCCTCCTCCTCCTCCTCCTCCTCCTCCTCCTTCTTCTTCTTCTTCTTCTTCTTCTTCTTCTTCTTCCATTGGATCTTGAGGATGATTTCCCTAATAATTCTGTACTTTTGAAGCCCCAGTAACTACCAAACTGAAGTGAAAAATCTACACAGGTTTTTACACTGAAATGATTCTATTATTACCAAGCTTTGCAGAACACAAGTCTTCAAGACAGCAAAAGGGCATTGCTGTAACTATTCTCTTGCCAGCTTGAATAAAATGTTGCTTGATTGCCTGTATAAAATTAAGTATTTACATAGGGAATAGAATACATTTTCTTTTCCCTTTACCTCTTTCATAATTCACGGGACTCAGGCTGACTGCATCTGATTTCCCCCCTCTACCAAACAGTGCTTAATTAAACAAGGGAATATGTTTCTACAAATATTAAACACGGTCACCCATTTGTAATTTTTTTTTTTTATGAAATGAAATAAATTCATGGAGGAGAGGGTTTAGGTTGTTAATCATGATAGCTACAAAGTGAGCTCAGCAGCTCACGCTTGCTTTTAAATGGTGATCACTAAGGAATATGAATATAATCATGCTCTTATTAAATGCAATTTTAATTTCTTCTGTTCCTCAACAGCACAGGGTGATCAGTTCTGCACTGTAGGATCAAGAGAGACAGGCAAAGTGGGAGACAGAAAAAAAATGTACATGCTGAATATAAGATCACCAAATCTAATACAACATACTTGCATTAAGGGATTACTGTATTTTATGTGTGTACCTATCAAAATTATCACCAAGAGGGCCAAACGGAGGGTATAGAAGAATCCAGAATGCTGTCACTCTTTCTTATCTCTTAGACTTGCCTCTGTTAAGCCTGGAAATTTGGCTCATTATTACAGCATCTCTGAGCAAATGGTCAGGATGTGATCAAGCTGTCTTGATGGTTCCTAAGAAAAGCTTAGCTTGCTATTGCTTTTTTTTTATTACGTTTATCACTCTGCCTGACTCGGCCAGGTTTCTCATTTTTTTAATGCTCATCTTCAACAAGAAATCATCTACAGTTTTTGATACCCATCATAATATTGGCAGCAAGACTTCTCCTACTTATTATAATTTTCTACTCATCCTCCCAGACTAAATTGAATTAGTCCAAACCCATAATGTTTGCTGGGAGGCTTGATACCATGCCCAATTAATACAAAGCAGTAAAGCCATAATATCTCTTTTAAAAGTTTAACATCTCCCCAGCTATTAGATCTTGCTAAATGTTTTACGTGGCTATTGTATTCTGTATGTTATTTCTTTTTTTTTTTAATTAAAAAGTTTTTATTTTCCATTTATTCATACAAAATACATTGTATGTTATTTCTTCTTGAAAGAAAGCCAATGCTAGATTTCTTCTCTGGATCTAGGAATGGAATTCTGTGCTTTTGTAATAATAATAATAATAATAATAATAATAATAACAACAACAACAACAACAACAACAACAACAACAACAACAAGCAACGTAACACTCCAGACATAACAATTGTCGATAAGAAAGACAAAAAAGTCTGGATAGTGGACGTGGCAGTGCCTGGAGACAGCAGAATAGAAGAGAAAGAACTGGAGAAGATAACAAAATACAAAGACCTACAAATAGAAATAGAAAAATTGTGGCAAAAGCAAGCAAGGGTAGTACCAATAGTAATAGGCGCCTTGGGTGCAATCTCAAAACAACTGGTGCACCACTTGAACACCACTGACATTGACAAATTCGCTATTAGTCAATTGCAAAAGACAGCCTTACTAGGAACTGCTTCCATCCTGCGATGATATCTATAATACCATCAAACATCCACATCTGCCTATCCCAGGTCCTTGGTAAGGACTTGATAGGTAGACACAAATGCCAAATCCAGTTTGAACATCTGGCTGACTGCGCGATGATCAATAATAATAATAATAACAACAACAACAACGGCAACAACAATAAAGTTAGAAGGAACCATTGAAGTCTTCTAGTCAACCCCCTGCTCCTTTGTGGCAACCCCTGAGATACTGGAAGACTGCTATCATGTCACTCCTAGTCCTTCTTTTCATTAAATTAGACATACCCAATTCCAGCAACTGTTGCTTACATGTTTTACTCTCCAGTCTCCTGATCAACTTTGTTGCTTTTCTCTGCACTCTTTCTAGAGTCTCAATATATTTTTCACATCGTGGTGGCCAAAATTGGAAGCAGTATTCCAAGTATGGTCTTATTAAAGTGTTATAAAGTGGTATCAGCATTTCACATGATCTTGATTCTATCCCTTTGTTAATGCAGCCTAGGACTGTGTTGGCTTTTTTGGCAGCTGCAGCTCACTGTATCTGGAAGAGGATTATTAAATATTCTCCTTGTCTCCTGCATCTGCTGGCAGACGAAGGGAATGGAAATAATTCTCAAGTAGAAATATGCTGGTAAATTACAAGAGGACCATCAGTTAAATATGAGCCAACAGTGTGCAGCAGCAGACAAATAAATCAATGGGATCCTAGGCTGCATTA